ATGTACGGCGAATTATTTGCAGTTGGATGCATGTAGCGAATTTCATTGGCAAGTATCTGTAAATAAATAAGAATTTATTTAAAAAACATTGCTTGCTATTCAACCCAGAAGAATTCCTCTGACGATTGTACTTGCATTCCTCCGCTTCGCCACGGATTTCAAACTCACAATCGCCAGAGAAGAAATATATCATTTCTAATGCGATAATGAATACGCGTATATTATTGATTGAAATTTGCAATGAACTTCTTTTGTTAATAACCAGCTTGATTCTTGAATTAATATTTTCTTAAAGTTAACAATTGATGACACCACACGTTCATTTGTTCTTCGCAATAGTATATTACGGAACAAGTGCGGAATGGATTTTTTAGATCGTGGGAGAGCTGTAACACGAGCCGAGGGTGAGTTTTACAATCTCACGAGTCAAAATAGAATATTTCCTAAGTTGTTCGCAATAGTATATTACGGAACAAGTGCGTAATGGATTTTTTAGCTCGTGGGAGAGCTGTAACACGAGCCGAGGGTGAGTTTTACAATCTCACGAGTCAAAATAGAATATTTCCTAAGTGCGAAAAAATGATTTTTGAAGAAAAACTTTTTGCACAAGTTGCGAACAATATTTTTCTTCGCAACGAAGCAGAGCGTGCCGGAAAAGTTACTTTCCCGCACGTAGTGACGGAATTCGCCAGAAGAATTCCACATAAAAAAAAACGAATTGACGATCAATCACGTAAATACTTGATCGACGCTTTTCTTCTCAGTATAAATCAACTGATACTCTTCTGAATCTCACTTGAAACTGAATCGACAAATGCGTTGCGAGCTGAGCAAAAAGACCATCCGCAGCAACCCAAAAAAGGCTCAAGAAATACATTCCAATCGTCTCGTAGGTGAGGACAGCAAAAAATCGGCCAGGTGAATTTAATTCGAATGGATACAGAGCCGGCCACTCAGTTGAAGAAAAATCGAAGGTATCATTCGATCCAGATAGAACATACGTAAAATATGACCTGAAAAAGTAAATGTAAAAATCTTCAGCGCAGATCCTGCTAAAATATATTCCCAAAATACTTTTCAGCCCTCGTAGCATAAATGACATTTTTACCCACGGAATTACAAGAGTAAATCAATTGATTCTCTTCGCAATTTTGTTGGTCTTCAAT